AGGACCATAGTATATATATATACCACGACCATAGTATATATACCATGAGGACCATAGTATATATACCATGAGGACCATACTATATATATACCATGAGGACCATAGTATATATACCATGAGGACCATACTATATATACCATGAGGACCATACTATATATATACCATGAGGACCATACTATATATATACCATGAGGACCATACTATATATATACCATGAGGACCATACTATATATATACCATGAGGACCATACTATATATATACCATGAGGACCATACTATATATATACCATGAGGACCATACTATATATATACCATGAGGACCATACTATATATACCATGAGGACCATACTATATATACCATGAGGACCATACTATATATACCATGAGGACCATACCAACCTATCATAACCTTCCTCTCTTGAGGGTAACTTAAGATGATTTCGGGGCTTAGCGTCGCCGCGGCCCGGTCCTCGACCAGGCCTCCTTTTTGTTACACATCCCCACGAAGCAGCCCGTAGCAGCTGTCTAACTCCCAGGTACCTATTTACTGTTAGGTGAACAGGACATGAGGGGTGAAAGAAAATCTGCCCATTTGTTTCCGCCTCCACCGGGGATCGAACCCGGAACTTCAGGACTACGAATTCGAATATGTAGAATTCCCTACATATGTGTGCTATATTAGGTCTAGGGAATATTTAAGTTTGTTTTTTAGCTTCATGTATTTTAAAAGAATTCCTTACTAGTCAGTATACTACTATCTAAGAGCTAAGGACGTACCCATTCGTGACTATTGACCACTGTCACAATAGGTACTGTCTAAACAGGAGGATGGGTTGAGTGCTCCCGATAGGTTAGACGGGTGGCTTGGGTTCGGCCGATTCTGCTTAGGCAAAACAGTTCAGATCTTGACGGAGTGGCACACTGAGAGTCCGGTATGTCGTAGAGGGCGTTATGAGGTGCTTTATGAGGTACCTGAAGTATACCAATGGGTATACCTCCGCTCTGGCCACGCCCACCGTTTCCAAGCCACGCCCACTGTTCCCAGGCCACGCCCACCGACCCCTGTCAGCAGCTATGCATGCGTCAGTGTTGCCATGACCGTGGCGCGGTGCGGGGGTGGTGTACGCGCCTCTCCTCTGGCTCTCTCTCTCTCTCAGTCTCTACCTCATAGGATCGTCTGGTGGTGCGTCAGGTAACCCATAGTGACCCATACCTATAACAATTTTATTTATGAACTATACATAGGAACATGTTACAGTGCTTAATTAGCAGTACATAATTGTATAAAGCCACAAATTACAGTTTCCGGCATGTTCTTTGACGATGTTATTATATATATATTGAAGTGTGTTCCCTGCTTCCCGGTGTATATACACTGAGGTGTTCCCTGCTTCCTGGTGTATATACACTGAGGTGTTCCCTGCTTCCTGGTGTATATACACTGAGGTGTTCCCTGCTTCCTGGTGTATATACACTAAGGTGTTCCCTGCTTCCTGGTGTATATACACTGAGGTGTTCCCTGCTTCCCGGTGTATATACACTGAGGTGTTCCCTGCTTCCCGGTGTATATACACTGAGGTGTTCCCTGCTTCCCGGTGTATATACACTGAGGTGTTCCCTGCTTCCTGGTGTATATACACTGAGGTGATCCCTGCTTCCCGGTGTATATACACTGAGGTGTTCCCGGCTTCCTGGTGTATATACACTAAGGTGTTCCCTGCTTCCTGGTGTATATACACTGAGGTGTTCCCTGCTTCCCGGTGTATATACACTGAGGTGTTCCCTGCTTCCCGGTGTATATACACTAAGGTGTTCCCTGCTTCCCGGTGTATATACACTGAGGTGTTCCCTGCTTCCCGGTGTATATACACTAAGGTGTTCCCTGCTTCCCGGTGTATATACACTGAGGTGTTCCCTGCTTCCCGGTGTATATACACTGAGGTGTTCCCTGCTTCCTGGTGTATATACACTGAGGTGTTCCCTGCTTCCTGGTGTATATACACTGAGGTGTTCCCTGCTTCCTGGTGTATATACACTGAGGTGTTCCCTGCTTCCCGGTGTATATACACTGAGGTGTTCCCTGCTTCCTGGTGTATATATATACTGAGGTGTATATAATCCTGACCTCTTGTTCAGGACTAAAACACTCTCAAGAGGCTCATATAGGCCTTAATAACCCCTCCAGAGGTTAATAGGCCCAAATGATCCTTGAGAGGTTGCTAGACCACAGCATCAACCGAGCACCAAACCTAGGTGTTATAGAAGTGGCAATGCTCGCAACATTATGTAGTTACTAACCGCATATGTGGTATTCCTACGTTCATTGTCTAACCTGGAGAAACGTAGCCTAGCTTAATCTAACCTAACTTAGCCTAATTTAACCCTAACCTAAATTATCATTATCCAAGAGGAGAAACTAATTTTTAGGTCAGTGATCATTGGCTAAAATTAAGACTCTTGGCTCTTGTAAAAGATGATTATTGTTAGGTTCGTCTAAGTTAGCTGAGGTGGTGATAGCTGAGGTTATGATAGCTGACTGGATCCAGTATGCGGCTGCAGATGACACCATCTATAGGATAACGGGAATGGGGATCCTGTTTCCCTCGACAGGACTCGTTTCCTGGGATTTGTGTCTCATCATCCTCCTGCCATTACAAACAACCTTGGGACACTGTAACCATTTCGATTACACACGGCCATCCTGATCACTGTAATCTTCACTACTTAATATTGTCTTCATCACTAATCATTTTCACTATCCGGGCACCGTTAGATATACTATCTACAGTCATCATCACCATCACTGTCTTCCCTCTTCTTCAGCATCTTCTCCCTTCACCACCTTTCCTACCCTTCACCACCTTCCCTAACCTTCACTACCTTCCCTATCCTTCACCACCTTTCCTCTCCGGAAGCCGTACAGCAACAATACAGCTTATCAGATCAGGTGATAATATATACCGCAAGATATATATACCCAGTTTCCCTGTGTACATACACCTGCCAGTTTACCTTTATCTCTGAATTATACTGAGAACTAAAGTATATTTACATGTTGATGGTCAGTACGCTACTGTGGTGGCCTTTATAACCCTTGAGAAGATGATAGGCCTTAAGACCTGTCAATTATCATCTTTTACAAGAGACAATTAGAGTCTTAGGTTTTAGTTAATGATCACTGATCTAACAATTAGTTTAGTTTCTCCTCTTGGATAATGATAATTTAGGTTAGGTTAGGTTAGATTAAGCTAGGCTAAGTTAGGTTAAATGAAGCTAGGCTACTTTTCTTCAGGTTAGATAATGAACATAGGAATATCATGTATGCAATTAGTTCAGGTACGTTTATTGAGACGATAAAATACATTTCAAAGGGATAGAGTAGCTTAGGCTATTTCTACCCCTCCTCCCCTAATACTAAACAGCTAACCTTCACCTTCTTAGGCTCATTAAGAATATGCACTTCAGGTTTGGTCAACTCGCCATATAACAAACATAAGAACATACTTTACCGCAAACACATATATGAGAGGACGACAAAGTTAATCCCAGGAATTCGTCACCTTCCTTATATATAGGTATTCATATATCTAATTTGTTTGACCCCCATTTTTCCATATAGAGTATATGTTGACAAAAACATATACATATTATATAAAAAGGCTGTTTTATGAATATATTCGTTATGTATAAAACGGTATTTTTCTAAAGGCAGTTCAATATAAGTTAATTGAGTTTAAATATAATATTCTTTTAAAGCCAACGATTCACTTTTAGAAACATTTAAAAAAAAATTATATATATTTTCATAACAGTTTAGTTAAGTTACAGCGATGTGTTGCAGTCATCTCATTCATATTAGGCCAGGCCAGGCCAGGCCAGACCAGACTAGGCTAGGTTAGGTTACGCTAGGCTAGGCTAGGCTAGGCTAGGCTAGGCTAGGCTAGGCCAGGCCAGGCCAGGCCAGGCCAGGCCAGACTAGGTTAGGCTAGACTAGGCTAGGCTAGGCCGCACCAGGCTAGGCGAGACGAGACCAAGCCAAGCTAAGCTACACCTGACTAAGGAAAAGTTTACAAAACAACGTTTACTTTATGATATCATGTTATCAAACATTCTCTCACACGACGAGCGTTAAGCAACATCCAGTCCCGCACACTACACCACCGAACCATGACATGAACAATTACTGAAGCTGTTTAATGGGATCGAACCCGCGTCTCTGAATTCTCTCAGACACACGTACCTCCGCCTCGCTCATCATGGCTCAGTCGGTAGTGCATGTGCCTGAGGGAGTAATATTTTATCTAGGATAAAAAGAAAACCTGAAGTTGTAAGTTTCACGTTAAAACGAAAACTCTTTCATGGTAAAAAAAAGTATATGTATTGAAGGTAGTTGGAATTCGTTTATTGGTCTGGAAGGTGAATTAACTTGATGCTGTAAAGTATAAATAAATGAAATGCCAGTTACAGTATTTACATGTTTTGTGTATGTATTACAGATCAAACTGTTGGGGATCTTCCTGATGCAACGAAGACGACGCATGCTGCAAGACAGACACACGTGACCAACAGCTTTGGGACCTCTGGCGTTAGTGAAGTCCTATATAGCGCCGTTGACCTCGTCCAGCATGCTATATCGAGCTCCTCTGCTATCGTAGACTTGGTCGAACCTGCTGGTATGCACCACGTGTCATATAGTGAAGAGCATCTCGAATAATGTTCATATTCTAACCACACAGCCTAGAGGGCAGTGATCCAGGAAATCTCAGACGACGGAGACGAAGAATGGACATCTGGCGGACGTCCGAGGACACCGACGACGAGAATCCACCCGACGAGGAAATCGAACCCCTGAAGAAGACCCACCTTCGTCACCGATGTCCCTTCAAACACTGCAGAGGCGGCCCCTCCTCCGGCCACGTCTTTGAGCACAGAGTCTGCAAGCTACCCAACTTCGAGTGGCAGAACGATAACGGAAAAGAGAACCGTAGTTATTCTCTTTATCAACCTCCTGTTGCTACCGCTCCTGCTGTTGCTGCTGCTGCTGCTGTTCCTCCTCTTGATGCCTCGAGGTCCAAGCCGGATATTATCCTGGCGGCGATATCATCCGTAGCAGCAGCAACAGCCAAGCAGGGAGACGCAAGGGACATCATGGTGTCCTCACGTATCCTACAGGATCTCTTGAAGCTACTCACCGAGATACACTCTTCTCCCAACCTTCCTTTGAGATCCCCGCAGCCGGTACCAACGTCTCCAAGCATATTAGGCTCGGCCTCCACGTCAATAGGAGCGGCCTTCACGTTCAATGGAGTAACAAGTTCGTCCTCAACGTCAACAGGAGTGCCAAGTTTGTCTTCCACGTCACCAGGAGTGCCAAGCTCGTCCTGTACGTCAATAGGAGTGCCAAGTTTGTCTTCCACGTCACCAGGTGTGCCAAGCTCGTCCTGTACGTCAACAGGAGTGCCAAGTTTGTCCTGTACGTCACCAGGAGTGCCAAGCTCGTCCTGTACGTCAACAGGAGTGCCAAGTTCGTCCTCCACGTCAACAGGAGTGCCAAGTTCGTCCTGTACGTCAACAGGAGTGCCAAGTTCGTCCTCCACGTCAACAGGAGTGCCAAGTTCGTCCTCCACGTCAACAGGAGTGCCAAGCTCGTCCTCCACATCAACAGGAGTGCCAAGCTCGTCCTGTACGTCAACAGGAGTGCCAAGTTCGTCCTCCACGTCAACAGGAGTGCCAAGCTCGTCCTCTACGTCAACAGGAGTGCCAAGCTCGTCCTCTACGTCAACAGGAGTGCCAAGCTCGTCCTGTACGTCAACAGGAGTGCCAAGTTCGTCCTCCACATCAACAGGAGTGCCAAGCTTGTCCTGTACATCAACAGGAGTGCCAAGCTCGTCCTCCACGTCACCAGGAGTGCCAAGCTCGTCCTCCACGTCAACAGGAGCGCCACGCTCGTCCTCCACGTCAACAGGAGTGCTAAGCTCGTCCTCCACGTCAACAGGAGTGCTAAGCTCGTCCTGTACATCACCAGGAGTGCCAAGTTCAGCCTGTACATCACCAGGAGTGCCAAGCTCGCCCTCCACGTCAACAGGAGTGCTAAGCTCGTCCTGTACATCACCAGGAGTGCCAAGTTCGGCCTGTACATCACCAGGAGTGTCAAGCTCGTCCTCCACGTCAACAGGAGTGCTAGGCTCGTCCTGTACATCACCAGGAGTGCCAAGTTCGGCCTGTACCTCACCAGGAGTGCCAAGCTCGTCCTCCACGTCAACAGAAGTGCTAAGCTCGTCCTGTACATCACCAGGAGTGCCAAGCTCGTCCTCCACGTCAACAGGAGTGCTAAGCTCGTCCTGTACATCACCAGGAGTGCTAAGCTCGTCCTGTACATCACCAGGAGTGCCAAGTTCGGCCTGTACCTCACCAGGAGTGCCAAGCTCGTCCTCCACGTCAACAGGAGTGCTAAGCTCGTCCTGTACATCACCAGGAGTGCCAAGTTCGGCCTGTACATCACCAGGAGTGCCAGGCTCTGCCAACACGTTCACAGCACCAGATTCAGCCTCCACGCGAGTGGAAGGCTCGTCCTCCACAGTACCAGGCTCGTTCATCACATCCCAAGACGTAGTAGAGCCGTTCACCAATCCACCAGGCCTCGATTCTGTAGGCGAACGCCTCGCGCGGGAGTCGCCGCGACTGGCATGGACCTCTTCGTCTCTGTCTGCGACCCACGCCACAATGCCGATCAACAGCCACACCCCTTCTCTCCCCTATGTCACCTATCCTGTTCCCCGGCCCTCGGATACCTCCCGACATACCCCCTATCCACCACCCCTTTGGGATAGGACGACACGCTCTCCTGTCGCTTCCACGAGTCCCGAGTCGTTAATGTTGTTTTCTAGTGTCAGTCAGACACAGCATACCTGGATCACTAAGACGCCATCTGCCTATTCTTTATCCGGTGCCACTATCCCGGCGTCCTCCAATCCTGTATCAATGAATACTAGTACCACGTATGGCTATCCTTCCTCTTGTACCACTAGTCAGCTCATCTATCCTATCCTATCTACCCGGGATGCGGGCTATAAAATGTGTTCACAGTATAGCTCACCGAAGGTGTTTAAGAATCATGTTCCCCTATCCTCTAGTCTTACGCCTATTCCAGGGCTTGGCGTTCCTAACTATCCATGCCCACACACTTGCCATGATGATCGTGTACCGGTATACTGTCCGTACCCACCTATCCCCTGCCGAATGGAATCCAGTCTCACATCTGGCCATCCTGGAGTCCAAGCTACTATCCCTCCCGCTAAGTGTTACCATCCCTCCCCCACCCACCACAGGCCAAGCCCCGCCTCCCCTCTCCTCTCGTCAGGTTCTCCACCTGCCAGTGTTCAACAACCACAACAACAATCCCCAACCTACCACAACACCCCACTGGCGCTACCCTCAGCACACCCCCCCCCCCTCTCCCCCTCACCGGCAGGCCATCCCAACGTCAACTTTCTCTACCCAATCAACCAATCACTAACTCAACAGCCAACCCGTCAATCTACCCCCCCCCCTCCCCACCAACAATGCCATTCTCTCACACCCTACATATCCAATCCTCTGATATAATCTCGTAAACTAAACTTTACAAATATATCTGAAGAGTATATTAACTGATTTATTTTCCAAGCTCAATCCAGCCGTTGCAACAGGCCTACACAAGCGTATTTCTATGTTTGCATTTTCAGTTATTTTTTGGTTTAAATGTCACAGTCAAGGTTAGGTTGTCGGCATCCTTGGTGGATGCCAGTGAGGCGGAGACCAGGAGATAAGATTGATGAAGATTAAGTCACCCAAGAGGTGGCACGGGCATGAATAGCCCGTAAGTGGTACCCAGGAGATAACGCCAGGAACTGATCTTATATTACAAAGATGTCTGGGGTTGGCGGCCGAGGCAGAATAAGCTTCCCACCTTTGGCGCCTTCTTTTGATAATTAGTTACCGTGAAGGGGGGGGGGGAGAGGGGGTAGACGCCGACAGTTTGGTTAATAAGACACTTCGTCATGGTCTAGTGAGACGGTACTTAGTATTTTACTCTTGGGTTAGCAAGAGACACTAACTAGGAGATGAAACTAGGATTTTAATACTGTATAGTATTAGGATGTTACAGCCAGACGTCAACGCCTTGTACAGTACACAACTTGCAGTTCTCTGAGAGTAGGTAGGACCCGGCCAGTGAGCAGCTGTGACGCCGGGCTAGTGACGTCAGCCTAGACGCTAGGCTAGCGACGTCAGCCTAGACGCCAGGCTAGCGACGTCAGCCTAGACGCTAGGCTAGCGACGTCAGCCTAGACGCCAGGCTAACGACGTCAGCCTAGACGCTAGGCTAGCGACGTCAGCCTAGACGCCAGGCTAACGACGTCAGCCTAGACGCCAGGCTAGCGACGTCAACCTAAATGCCAGGCTAGCGACGTCAACCTAAACGCCAGGCTAGCGACGTCAACCTAAACGCCAGGCTAGCGACGTCAACCTAAACGCCAGGCTAGCGACGTCAACCTAAACGCCAGGCTAGCGACGTCAACCTAAACGCCAGGCTAGCGACGTCAACCTAAACGCCAGGCCGAATGACCTAAAGTGACGAAGAATTCCCCTCAGACTTGCATACAATATGTTATGTTAACGGATATTTGTCCCACATTTGAGAACAGTAACAAACCTGTGGCCGCAGAGACCAAATTCTTGAGACATGCGAGAGCCAAATTATATTCCGAACTTAAAAGATGAATTCCGGAGAAAAGAAGACTCTTGTTAATCTGTGATTAATAAGTTGTCGGATAGAAGGAGACTTTATTGAAGGCAAAACAGTATCAGGAACGGGCACACACACACACACTGTCTCCCTTCCAACCCACACCCTTCTTTACGGCGCTCTGTGACGCGTATTTAAATACATTTTGGCTAGTTTTGGCGGGAAGGAAGCGCGGCTTAGTTACCAGTCAAGAGTCGTGGTCCATTTTTTCTGTGGTCATTATCATTATCCTGGTATCTCCAGCAGGTTTAAGACAGTACTTTTGCTGGGTTCCCAGTCATATTGGTTGTTTCTAAACGAGTGTGTGGGCGCTGCCGCTAAGGAAGCTGTCCGCGCTTGTCCTATCTCCCGTAAAGGTATTCCTTATTCCGACTTTTACCCGGTTATTCATTCCTCCATCCTTGCCCGTTGGCAGGCTTGTTGGTCTTCTGTTACTGGTAACAAACTGCGTACTCTTAAGAGTAGTGTGTCCCTGTGGCCTTCCTCCTGCCACCGAAACCAGCGGTGGGAAACGGCTCTGACAAGGTTACTTATTGGCCATACGCGCTTAACTCACGGACACTTAATGGAGTGCCGTCCTGCTCCTTATTGTCCTAACTACATTGTCCCTCTTACAGTAGTACAGTCTTATCCTTGTTGAATGTCCTGACTTCCAGGACGAGCGGTGTCTTGCTTTCCAACCGTCCCTCGCGGTCACTTGTCCCTCGATGGAATTCTTGGTGAATCGGATACCAGTGATATCGTTTACCTTATGCGCTTTTGTTCTCCTATTGGCATCCTTAATGATATTTAGCGCCCTCTGAATATCCCGCACAAATGATGGTGGTACATAGCCTTCCCGGCTTGGTGCCTTCTTTTGATAATTACTTATCGTGGTAATTACCTTCTTTTGATAATTACTTATCATTACCGTGGGCACCAAAGTCACACTTGGATCAACAAACTCTGTCTTCAAATAACACAGCCTCCCCCCCCCTGTTTAAAGCCCTAAACATGCTGAACATACACTCACTCCACACAGTCTCTTGTGCTATTTACATGTACAAAACCTTATTCCTAAATGCTAATCTTGATTTGAAACTCTTCTTTGATAGATGTAACAGAACCCATGAGCACCACACCAGAACTAAATACCTCTTCGATATCCAGTCAGACTAAATCTGTACAAACACTCCATGCAAATATCAGGACCCAGTCTATGGAACTCACTCCCTGATGAATTATAAAAATGTCACAACCTATGCCTTATTCAAAAGCAAAACCAAAAACAACCTAATTACATCCTTGTGGTTTCTTACCTTGTGCTTCAAACTCACGCTGTATCTTGTGCTACTCACTTCTCCCAATATAAGTTTTTAAGACGTGCAACTTCGCCAGAATAATCAATACAGTCAATTTATATTGCAGTCATTATGTTGAAATCAAATTCTGCTACAATGTATCTATTAATACTCTTACATTTATCTGTTAGATTAAGGACTTACCAGAACCGCTGTGCGTGTTAGGGGCTTTACAAGAACGCAAGAACACCAATGTTATGTATTCTCACAACCTAATGTGCCTTCTTGTATATAAATAAATATATATATATATATATATATATATATATATATATATATATATATATATATATATATATATATATATATATATATATATTATATATATACACACACATATATATATAGTGCCTAGACTGTAGTGCCCAGGAAATTAATAGTGACCACAGAAAAAATGGCCCACGACTCTTGACTAGGCTGCTCTTCTCTCCCGCCAAAACAAGCCAAAATTTATGTAAATACTCAACAACCCCCCCCCCCTCCTGGGAAAACGGGAAGGGGGGGTGGGACGTTGGGAAGAAGAGACAATGTACCCGCCTTCCTGATACTGTGTTGCCTTCAATAAAGTCCTCTGTATCCGAATTGCCTTTCTGTCTCAAGCCTCATGCAGCCCACCCCGGCCAAATCCAGTCACCGCAGACCTTAACGCAACAAGGATTCTCCGATGAAAGCGTTGATGTTCTAGTGGCCTCTCCCTAAAACTGGCCTCTCCCTCCCTCCCTCCCCAGGCAGAACGGAGGCCATGGCACCGCTGACCAGTTCAAGAGGAGTAGCGCGGTGACTTAGGACCTCTTCGGTATAATCTGAATAGAAAAATCCAAGTAAATGTGTTTTAGTCTAGTTCATTTATTATGCAGTACATGACCAGCCTGTGAGTGTTAGTGGACCCCCATGGCCATCCTGTGAGTGGCAGTGTTCAAATATTACACACGAACACCCCCATGTAAGGGTGACTAATTCTCCAATGCCTCTGGAACATCACATCTGATTTTATTTTGGCCAAGTAACCAGCGGAGATGACACCAGCCACCAGCATACAATCATGCCGGCGTGCTCCCTCAGAACGGTTGCAACGCCAACGGCAGACTTCTGGTAAGCACCATAGAACAAAGGAAACACAACTGCAGGATGTCTCTAGGGCAATAGGATGTTGTTGTTCTAGATTCAGCTACTCTGGACCAAAATGTTCCAAGCAGCACGGGCTATGGCGAGCCCGTGGTGGACTTACCCGGCACAGGAGCGGAGCTGATTCCGAGAAAAGGAGGCCGCTCCTGTTGATATGCCAGGGAGGCAGCACATGACTTGCCAGTGTGGAGGGCGAGGATGGGGGGGGGGGGGTAAGGAAAGCGTAGCCGTGTTTCCCGCGCGCGATGCCTCGCATCTAGAGGAAGTAGAGGCTACAACTCCCCCACACCGTTTACAACCCGTCCTCTTAAAACAACCCGTCTTCTTAAAAATAACGTCACTTTTG